AAACTCTATGTCCCTGTAAGCCAGAGAATGGACCTCATGAAACGCTGCCATGACTCCAAAATAGCGGGACACTGGGTTTGTAAAAACTCTGCACCTTATCAAAAGACAATTTTGGTGGCCGTCCCTCAAAAAGGACATTAAAAGCTATGTTGCAAGCTGCCCCACCTGTGCTGCTGCAAAAAGAAGACAGGGAAAATATCCTGGACTTTTACAAACAGTAGCAGACCCTTCTGCTCCCTGGAAAGAGATCTCTATGGACTTTATAGTGGAGCTTCCCAAAAGTGCTGGAAATACTGTCATTTGGATTGAAACTGATCTTTTTTCCAAACAGGCTCACTTTATTCCATGCCAAAAGATCCCAATTGCCAAGGCATTGGCAAAGATGTTTCTAATACACATTTATCGCCTTCATGGAGCTCCCCAACGGATTATCTCAGATAGGGGTGTTCAGTTCACATCCAAATTTTGGTGGGCGTTTTTAAACCTATTAGGCTCCACCCAGAGATTGTCATCAGGAAATCACCCCCAAACTGATGGATCAACAGAGAGAGTGAACAGCATATTAGAACAATATTTACGATGTTTTATTAATCACCAACAGGACAATTGGACTGACCTTCTTCCTTTTGCAGAGGTAGCATACAATAACTCAGTCCATAGTAGCACAGGGGTCACCCCATTCCAGGTAGCCACGGGCCAAGAATTCAACCCCATGTCGGAACTACCCACCAAAGATCCTGAAATACCTCCCTTAAGGAGTGGATGGATAACTTACAAGCCATGTAGCCAGTGGTAAGATTATCTTTACAGGAAGCTAGAGCAGTTTACAAAACTCAAGCAGACAAAAAACGTTGCGAACCTAAACCTTTCAAGATTGGGGACCATGTATATTTGTCCACAAAATTCTTAAAATCATTACAACCCTCTAAGAAATTAGGACCAAAATTCATTGGCCCATTCCCCATCTCCAGAATTATTAACCCCGTGATGGTAGAGTTTCAACTTCCAAAAACACTTAGGCAGATTCATCCAGTATTTCACTGTAGCTTGATCAAACCAGAGATCACTTCAAACCTCAGACCCCCCCTTCCCACACCTCCAACCCCCATCATGGTACATGGGGAACAACATTTTGAAATTAAAGATATCCTGGATTCACGCACTCACCGTGGATCCACACAATATTTAGTAGCTTGGAAACACCTTCCTTCCTCAGAAAATGAGTGGGTAGCCAAACGACACGTAAAAGCACCCACATTATTACGTAAGTTCCACCAAAAATACCCTGATAAACCATCCTGAATTGCAAATGTACTGCATTATTTTTGTTTTTTCCAAGTAGACCTATCTGTTTTTTAAGGGGGGCAGGATGTCAGATCCATGTATCTGTCATTTGTATCTGTCATGTATCTTTCAGTGGAAGAAGAAAAGAGGGGGAGGCTGATAAAGAAATCCTTTCTTGATGTAATCTGAATATATTTAATCTTATATCGAATTTGTATAACCCACACGATACAATGGAGGGAGAAAAGCCAGATGGCCAGAACTATCACCTCTGAGAGGCACAGCCAGGAGATGAGAGGATCATAAAACTTCCGCAGTGAGATGTGTCCTGGGAATCTCTGGAAAAGTTTGTTCTAAAAAGGGGGTGGGGGGAAATTAGGTATGCCCTGGGAAATTGTGAAAAAAATCATTCCTAACAAAAGGGGTGGGGAGGAATTAACATACTGGCTTTTGTTTCACTAAATACACATCGAGATAAGGGGAGGGGTTCTAAACTCCCTTATGTATCCCTGTATGCCTGAGAGACCTCAGACGCTGCTTTGAACTCCTACATGAATTGTCTCATCTCAATAAAGGATTTCTTTTTGATACATTTTGATACATTTTGATAAGTTCATTCTAGTTGAGTGAATGGGAAAAGTTCTGTAGCCTGACACCATGCTCTTTACCATTCTCATATATTTTAACATGCAATCTTGTTGTCACGATCATCACCAGATAGATCCAGAGATAATGATTTGTAACTGTCCATCAAAGTGTTCACATAAGCTAGAGTGTATTTTCTGTATCTTACTGTAAGAATGTTAATAACTTTTGTAGTATGTCACATCAACATTTACTACTAATGGTAACAACAATACTATTTACCCAGTATGCTACAAATGAAACTGAAATCCAATTTTACCCCAAGCACATTATTCTACATAAGCTAAGACCTTTAGACAACATTTTACAACTGACATACTAAGTAGGAGGCACATGCAGTGTACTATCTCAGCATAGGATAACATTAATGTTGAGGCAGCAAACATGCTTTAGAGTAGAGTAGGCAGCAAACATGCTTTAGAGTAACAGTAGGATTTTTTCCTACAATTTCATTAAGACGTTGTTATTATGTTACTTTATTTTACTAAACCTGGATCAGTAAAATATAACTCGTATGTTAATCTACAAACCATTATTGTTTGGCATATTGAACCACAAATCCATTTTAGTTTTCTGTGTTAACTTTATCGAAATTCTTTACCATATTTTGATTGTTTCTGGAAAAAAATCCTTGAAATTAAAATGATCTGGATTCTCTGAAATTTATTCAATAGACAAAAATTTACTTCAGACTTCAGTCTCTCAAACAAAATCTATCGTCTCCAAAGTTGGATATTTCTGAGGACATGTCTCCTTTAAAAGACATGAGTTTTGGAATAAAACCAGCTAATCAAGAAACTAATAATTCAGAGTGCCATCAAAGGATGGGACACAAACAAAAATGTGTGCAAAATTGTCTTAAATGTGCAGGCAATTTAAAAACCATTTAATGATTTTTCAGACTCTTAGCATCAATGTGCAGGACAGAAACAATATTATAAAAACTATTAGGTAACAGGAAAGATCTGACACAGAAGCTGCCACTACAGTAATGAGAAAATTTGCTCCAATGTTTCTACAATCCAGGTAAAGGATTCCCTATTTAGTTTCTAGGACAGTATTGACTACTGACTTAATCAGGCCATAAGACCACAACACTTCAGTGGTAGATTTATTCATTAACATTAGCTGGGCCAGGAACAATCCAAGTAGGCTAATTTTAGTCAATGTTTCAATAAGTAGGATCTTGTATGACATTTTAGAAACAATGCAAAATTCCAGTACATCAAGGAACATGCAGTGTAGCTTGTATAACTAGGCTTGCTTGTGTTTATAAACAAGTACTGACCTTGCATAAGTACACAAATTATGTTGATTACATTCATAATGTAAATTTGGATTTAACAGAAATTTCACCACTTTGCTTAACTAAGTTTCAGTGTTTTTTTTTTGTTTTTTTTTTATTGAATTAACCTCCTTGCTGATCTGTGCACACACATCTTCAGGAGAATGATCAAGGTACTCTGGCAACATCATGGCAATTATTACTTTAGCATTATTCTGTGAAGCTTTTGCATAACTGAATTTTTGATCAAGGATCAATTCAACTAAAAACTTCTAAAGATTTTATTGCATGAACATACTCTTCAGAGCCCTTACCCCAAGAGTACATACTATGTTTTCACTAAAATGAAAAAGACAAACGTGTACTAAAATATAACATGACGTAATATTGCTGATGTGATGCAATATTGCTGATGTAATAGTGTGTTTCCCCGAAAACAAGGGTCTTATTTTGGGGGGGGGTCTGATTATTGACTCACCTCGCGGCAGCGGCAACGAAAGCCCACTTATTCTGCAGCAACTTGCTGCTCGCACGCATTCGTCCCTGGCTTCCATTTCTCCATCAGAGGCTTTCCAGAAAGTCCTCTGCAGCCAAGAAACAGGCTCTAGATTGACGTGCAGTGCCTCCCTGGCCTTGTTTTGCCAGATCCAGAGCTGTTATCGGCTGCAGAGGGCTTTCTGGAAAGCTTCTGATGGCAAAATGAAGGCTAGGGAGGCACCGCGTGCATCAATCTGGACCTCATTTCTTGGTTGCAGAGGGTCTTGCGGGAGACACGTACGAGCGGCAGCAAGCAGTCACAGAAGAAGTGGGCCTGCAAGTCGAGGCAGGTGTCGTAGTGTGTGAGGCCTTGTAAGTAGGGCAGCTCCACCCTTCACCCCCACCCTAGCTTAATTTTTACCCATGCACCCTGTCCCTTAGGGCTTATTTTGGGGGGTAGGTCTTATATTGGGTGCATGTGCAAAAATCAAGCTAGGACTTACGTTCTAGGTAAGTCATATTTTCAGGGAAACATGGTATTTGGTTACTGAAGGAACTAAAATCTACTTAATGGAAAAGGTTATTGCCAAAATGTTTTAGCAATATAAACCTCTTCCGGGATATTAAAAAATAAAGTATCTCTATCTCCATAATTCAGGGGTTTGATCATCACCTTTAAAGCACTTCACAGCATGGAACCAGGTTATCTAAGGAAATATGTTGCCTAATGGGATTATCCTGCCCCACTTACTCAGAAAAAGCATTCTATGGACTCCGTCCGCCAAGTAATTGGCTAACAGGATCCAGAAGAGCGTCCTTTGCAATGTCCCTGGCCTCCTGTAACATTCCACAACTAGAGGCCTTCCAGAAGAGTTTTAAAACCTGGTTCTGTGGTTGTTGGCTTGGAGCACCAAATGGGGAGCACTGTGCTGGAAATGGTTAGCTGAGTCAGAGGTAAAAGTCACCTCTGCAACATATGTGTTTTTTGTTTTTAACCTTTGCTTAAAGGTTTTTAATTTTAATGCTTTTATATTTATGCTTTTATGTCACTGTAAGTTACTCAAAATCACTTTGTTAGCGAGATGGCCAGCATATACATTTAATAAATAAATACACAAATACTAATACTCTAGGTACAAGATTTACAAGTATAGCTTTTATGTTCTTGCCTTTCCAAACTGGTGCTTTTTAAATGTATACTTCCAAAATTCTAAGATAAGTGGCTGGAAAATCTGGAAATTGTAACTCCAATACATGATGGCTACAGGTGAAAAATGATCTTTTCATTTTTTACTACTATAGACAATACCTGTTGAAAAGTGAGACCAGAATCTTCCATTATATACTGCTTTCTAATAGAGTAGAACATGGCACATTCTTTACTAAGACTATCAAAACACTCCTTTTCTTCATCCCAGTTTACCTGGTAAAAAAATTAAATAAAAGGTATAGTTCTAGATTTAGTGAACTGGTCAGTTACAAAGACAAGTTATTATAAATAAAGAATATTGTAGTTTTAACCTTTTAGCAGGGGTGATAGTAGTGATATGACAATTAGAAACTGAAACACTCCATTCTGATTTCTTTAATCTAATTTTTATTAGTTGTTTATGTTACATTTGTATGTAATGTTAAACTTGATAATAAGTATATTTCATAGACAAAGTTGAGAATATATAAAAGATTGGGGGGGGGGGATTAAAAACAACCTATTTACAGGTTCTACTTCCTATGAATAGAGATATTCCGAGAATGAAGAAAGTAAGCCAGTATTGTGTGCTGGTTAAAGAGCTGGACTAGGACTTGGGAAACCCAGAATCAAGTCTACTCTCAAGCTACCTCACAGGGTTCTTGTGGGGAAAAAGTTGAAGAATGATCTATGTACATTGCCTTAAGGAAAGGCAAGATATAAGTTAAACAAACAATCCTATCATAACCTTTATAGAAATAAATTGCAGAAGATTTTAATGATTATAGTTATGTTTTACAAAATCTATTTCAATTTTAACTTTTTAAAAATGGGAAGTATATTAATGAAACTACGTTTGATAGAGATTTGGCAATCCATTGTAATTTAAGAAGTTGGATGAATGGTTGGGAAAACAGTATTAAGGTCTTCCATAATTTAAGTCTTTGACAGAACTGGTAATATTAAAATAAATTATTATCAGTTGGGCTTCAGTTCAGATATATGTTTTTGCACCTTTTTGCTTTCTTTTCTCATGCTGAATATTAAGAAATAAAAATGACCTATCTAAGCATGACTGCATATGGTTTAAAAAATAGTAATTTATACTGAATTTCAACGTACCTCTGTGGCCAAACGAAGGATAAACATAGGTAGCCCTTCCAGTGGAGGAACATAATTATCAATCAGAAGTGGCAGTCCAGTAAGATTTCCTTCCTGTAAACAGAAAGTTTTTATACCATATTTTCATCATCATATTCCATAGTCATTTGTTTCAAATGACTGCAAATAAGATAAATAACATGAAGATATTAAACATAAAAGAACAAGTGTTGCATATATAAAAACCCATTATAAGCTATTTCTATTAGATCAATTAAAATGCCAGATTATGAACATATTTCTATTATATTACTGTTTTAGATTTATTTTGATGGTGTTACTAAAGGTATTATCTTACTATTGCTTTTAGATTCTCTTTCGAAGAGAGAAGGCCCACTATAGATATGCATAGTTTCAACAGGTTAACTCATAACTTTTATGCCAACAATTTCCTATCTAAATAACTAAATTTCAGCACTACTACTACCGGTACTGAATATTGGTAGCAGGCCACTGGGTGAATAATTTTATTTATATGTATATATTTCATACAGATCGTCCTTGTTTTGCAACTTATAGTTATGATGATCATAAAAAAATATCCTTGTAACCAATCCTTGCATTTACAAGATTGGTAAAGCAAAGCTGAACTAAGATCATAAGCACAGTTGTATTTTCATTTTGCAATCACTTTGTTTAACAACAAAACTGCCAATTCCAATTGTCATCATTAGGCAAGACTACATGTACTGGAATTATTAATGTAAATAATTGGGTATAATCATGAATTCATTGTTTAGAAGTCAAATGCTATAGTAGTACATCAATTTCAAGGGAGAAATAGTCTTTTAGCATTTCACTCTTCTTTGATAGGAAGTCAACAATATATTCAGCAAGGCTTTCCTTTGGACCATCTTCTTCTGTCCAACCACTTTCAGCATTCTCCAAGGCCAACATAGCCAGATCAAAGAGAGGAGCTGCTTCCTATATGCACAGAAGAAACATAAAACATTATTATTTATGAAAACAATATACTGTCTAGAGGCATCCAAAAGACTGTCAGTCTGAGAACATTTCTTTATATGAATTATATATAAAGATGGGATATGAAAATTATTGTCACCTTCCCAGGTGGAGGGTGTGTTAAATACTGTGGAAGGCTGCAGTAACACACTTCCACAATTAAATTGGGAGTACAATTTATCAATCCTGAACAGGTCCAGAGACTACACAGCTAAATATATAAATAGTAATCAAAACACATAATAATTATATAAAAAATAAATTATAAAAACAAATTTGACAATTAAACCACACTTTGGCTCTTAATATCAGAATGTTCTACAAAACTATATATGTGAAGGAAATATTAAGCTACTCTTTTATAATAGAATTAGAAATAGTAAGTGCATTATTAAGCTGTGTTGTCTTTGTTGCTGTATCCTAACCACAAAGTATGTTCAGTTAAACAAAATGTGCTGGATAGTTGCAGGCTTCTGAGAAAATAGGAACATCCGCCCAGGCAAGGCCTCTGGCAATAAAACAGGCACATAAGATAGGGACATCCACCCAAGGTGAAGTACAAGTAAACAAGTTAAGATATCTGGTGCCTAGAAAGAAACGGTCAAGCCGACCCTTTGCCTTATAGTATGACTTAAAGATAAGGGGAGTGGGTAGGTCTTCTTAGGCGTGGCGTGCATTGTGTAGAATGTATAAAATGATTTGTTTGACCATTAGATCTTGCTCTTCTTGAACCCAATCTTTGGAAGGGACTTGAAGGTTCGTTTGCAAACGGTTATTTTCTTTAATAAACCTTTGAATTGTGAACCAGACATGTCTCTGTATTATGAGTATTAAATAATTTGGGTCTTACATCTCCCATATGTATATCTGAGTCACGTGAGTTTCTCTGAATAACAACTTCTACAAGGATGGAACAGATAACTACAGATAAGTTGGGACAGATAACAGAACATATGTATGGATTTAAAAACATGTAAATATTAAAAAACCATGTAAATACCCTGTTTCTCCAACAATACGGCCTCCCCCAATAGGAAGTCCCAGCATGTTTTATAGGCATGAAATGAAATTAAGCCCCTCCCCCTAAATTAAGGCCTATATTAAAACATGCGAAATGGGGGGGAATGGGGGGGCTTGCCATTAGGAAGTTCTTTTGTTGCACACCCGGATATGGTGCTGCCTGCGTTGACCCCGATACAAAGTGCCCCACCAACGCCGAGGTCAACATCCAAGCTGTCACCGCCCACCCGCCCAAAGATGCAAGGGGGGGGAATTAAGTCACCCCTGAAAAGACAACCTAGCCATTTTTTCGGGGCTCAAAATAAAATTTAAGACCCGGCCTTATTATATGAGAAACACGGTATTAACAGAGCATAAGGAAACTACATTGGTCTTCCATACATGTCTTATATGCTAGCCTAAAATGTATAAAAAGAACTACTATCTTTAGAAGGATTAGTAAAGTATCAAATTTAAATTCTACCCCCAAAGTATACTTACTGATAATCTTAAAACTCCAAAGTTTCCAAAGTCATAAATAAGGATCTGATAGAACATTTCTTGACTTGAATCAAAAGAAAACAAAAATCAGCTTCTTAAATGCACATTCTCTTGTATATTTAGCATTAAGCTTTACCATGAAATTATTAATTACAAATTATATTCTAATTTATGAATTAGAAGTGACAATCAAAGTCAGCAATATATAAAATCAACAATACATAAAATCAATCAACTTATTTTAGCAGAATATTGAAGCATTCAGACAAAATGAATGAAAATGTCCTTCGAGTGCTGATTATATATTATTTCAAAATATCATTATCATCAGCAAATTGCTCCAAAGACTGGTATATTCTATCACAAATCACATGTTATTCTTAAATTGGAACATGCTCTCTCCCATCTTCTGGACTACGAACAAAATGCAAAAACTAAGCTGCAGTCCAGAACATCTATTTAAGATTTATTTCCTATTTCAACTAATTCTGTTTTGACAAAAATAACAATGCATCAGTCTACCACCTGAGTTTTGTGGTATTCAGAAGATAAAGTTTTGTCTGATACTGAACCAGTGCCCATTGAGGACTAACACATCCAACAAAGGAATGATCACGAAGCATCTCTTGAAGACCTGAAATAACAAGTTTATTTACGTTTAGGATATCGTACAAAATTAATAATAATATAGACCAGTGATGGCTAACCTATACACGCGTGTCACTCGTGACACGCCGAGGCACTTTGACTGACACGCCTGTTGGTGTGGGGAAAACCTGCACATTTAGAGGCTGCCTGTGCTCTGCTCCAATCCCTGCTCCCTGCTTGTTGCGTGGAGGCGTGGTGTCACCGCTGCCGCAAGATCTTTGCAGCAGAGAACCAGTTTTAACCGCCATAAACTGAGGTTTGTCAGTTTCATTACCTCAGGAATGCTACAGGAGGGAAGGAGATCCATGAGGTTCACAGCCCTGTAAGGTGGCCTTCCGATCCCCACATCCTGCACTTGCAGCCCTGAGACCAGGGAGACGAGCTTCACAGCCCTGTGTGATCACCCCAGCCCAGTCCGTCATAAACCAAATTATTGATATTTCTTGAAGTGACACACGACCCGAGGAAGGCTACACTTTTTCCCAATTTTCGACACACCAAACTGAAAAGGTTAGCCATCACTGATATAGACCTTTAAAATCACTATGGATTTTGCAATTTATTCCTAATCTACTTTAGTTACTTTTAAAACTATATAAAACCAAGAACCATTTTAATTGTCCCATTAGTAAAACCGACCCCAAATTTTAGAAGTTTGTTTAAAAGTAAATATATTACTTAAATAAGAATTTTGTTGCCAAAAATCTGAAGATTAACAAATATTTAAGTCCATTTCTAAATTCAACTCAAATCAAACAATATATATGTATAAACTTTTAAAATCCAATCCAGATTTTTCAAAATACTTCACAATGTAAATGTAGCTAGCAAAAAAATATGAAGGACAAAATAATAAATCACTAGTAATTGTATATCTAGATATAATGTTAGTAATCAAGTGAATGCCAGTCAAGCTTGGGTTATTTCTATCATATGAATATTCTGTTCTGAAACATACAAACTTAGAGCTAAGAAGAATCTACTTATATGAAGAATGTATAAGCTATTTTTATTTCCTTCAAAATATTTACAGAATTCTAATTGATTCTTCTAAGTTAAATTTTTTAGTATTCAAAAATTTATTACAAAATTGGTAATAAATTGTATGTAAAAGTATATGATGAGATTGTTTTAACACTAACATCAAAATAACTGCAATCTAGTTTCTGAATTAAGCTCTTCCTATACTTCTCAGAAATACACAACTTTATTTTATTCTATTAAAGGTTTTCAAGATGGCTGCGCACATGGATGCTGCGGCTAACTGCTTCTTCTTTCAGTATATGGTGTGTATGATTCTCTGTGTGTTTTGGATCCTTTCCTTGATTGAATCCTGTGCGGCAAGGAGCATCTATAGTTGGCAAGCCTTGTTGCAAATTGGACTGAAAAGTGAAAAGGCTATTACAGATGATTTTATACATTCTCATAACATACCGAAGGAGGCAGCTAGGCCCCTGGGGGAGCCATGGATCACTATCCCTGTAGAAAGAAGGAAGAGGCGGAGAAAGAAGAACAGGAAGAGGAAGAGAGGATGCCATGCTGGGGTTTTCTTTAGGCTGAGTAAGTTTCCACACAAGCCTTCAATTCCAAGTATATTTCTTACCAATGCAAAATCTCTGACTAACAAAATGGATGAATTAAGGCTACAAATTGCAAAGACTAAATTCATCAAGAACTGCTGTATTTTGCTAATTATAGAAACTTGGCTTCATTCACTCATTCCAGGTGCAGCTGTTGAGCTGGAAGGCTACATAGCTCACCGGCAGGACAGGAGTAGAGATTCTGGCAAGATCAAAGGGGGAGGTTTAAGCCTTTATGTGAACAAAAGCTGGTGTATCAATACAAAGACTGTAGACAGCCACTGCTCCATGGATCTGGAGTATATGACTCTTAAATGTAGACCCATATATCTTCCGCGGGAATTCAGCGTGGTTTTGATTACTGCAGTCTATGTCCCATCTAATGCCAATACTACCATAGCTTTGGGATTCTTGTATAACATTGTTAGTAATCAGCAGAATAAGTATCCTGTTGCTGTGCATATCATAGCGGGGGACTTTAATCAAGCTGATTTAAAAGCAGTGCTCCCTAAATTCTATCAGCATGTTTAATGTGCTACCAGAGGTGCAAACGTATTGGACAAAGTATATACCAACATCAAACATGGGTCTAAGGTTATACAATTACCACATTTGGGACAATCAGACCATATGTCACTGCTTTTAGCACCAGCGTACATCCCTCTTAGAAGATGGGCTCTGCCTATAATAAAGACAGTGAAATTTTGGCCAGAAGATGCTTCCCAACAACTTCAGGATTGTTTTGAGAACACAAATTGGGACATCTTTTACCACCCTGACCTAGAGGTACACACTGCAACTGTTCTGTGGTATATCAAACACTGCACAGATACTATCACTGTGGATAAACGTATTAGGATCTATCCCAATTAGAAATCCTGGATGACCAAGGAAGTCCAGCACCTCTTGCGTGACAGGACCAAGGCCTTTAGGTCCAGTGATGGGGCAAGATACAGTGTTGCCAGAGCTAATCTGAAGAAAGGTATTCGGAAGGCCAAGACTGATTATAAGAGGAAGATTGAGGATAATTTTTATAGCAATAACATGAGGCAGGTGTGGCGAGGGATTCAACAAATTACAAACCATCAACTGACCAATGTCATCCCTGCTGAGGGGGATGCTTCATTGGCAGAGGAACAGAATCATTTCTTTGCTCGCTTTGAAATGGAGACATCAGAGACAGATAAAACACAACTACCAGCCAATTGTACCCCCAACCTCATTGTGGAGGAACAGGAGGTGAGGAGCATTCTGAGGGCTGTGGACACTACAAAGGCTGCCGGTCCTGACGGTATCTCTGGCCGAGTGCTTAAAGACTGTGCTAAACAGTTGGCTGGAGTCTTTACTAGGATCTTCAATCGTTCTTTATCCCAGTCCATTATTCCATCTTGTTTGAAGGCTTCCATCATTGTTCCGCTGCCAAAGAAGTTCCCTATCAATAACCTCAATGATTACAGACCAGTGGCATTCACTCCTATCATCATGAAGTGTTTTGAGAAATTGGTCTGCTGGCACATCATTTCTAGTCTTCCGCATATATTTGATAAACATGTTTGCATACAGAAAAAAAATGGATTTACAGAGGACACTATAGCCATCACTCTTCACACTGCTCTGACTCATCTAGAACAGCGGGGGGGGGGGGGGGGGGGGG